GGAGCTGATGGAGCAAGGGGAGGAGACATGGTGGGGATGGGGAGTGTGAGATTTAAAGGTGCCATGATTTTTTTGGGGGAGGAGGGTGCTTTTTTTGCTCAACAACATTTGGACATCCTCCCCTTTTTATTAATGGAGAATTTTGTTTAAAAATTACACATAAGTAACATAATTATCCAACTAAATTAAGTTTCTATCAGATTTACCCACTTCACATTTAATATGAAAATAGCAAATTCACATGGTAAGGTGAAAGAGTAATTGCTGAATAATTTAATTAATACCTTTTACATGTAAAATTACCTTTTTTATCTTAAGATTCATATATTAAATATGATGATTTTCGTATTCTTTAATGTACAAATACAAAATAAGCCTTGAAAAATTGTTGGCACCTGCCACACTCTTCTGAAAACATGAATGTGCTATTGGCCAGAAAAAGGTTGGGGACCACTGGTCTAGACAGTACTGGGTCCTGCCGTGAGGGCAGGGGACTGGACTTGATGACCTCTCGAGGTCGCTTCCAGTCCTAGTATTCTATGATTCTATATGTAGCCTTCTAGAAGGGGGTAGCTAGCAAGAAAGTAACTCCCCAAAACACAAGCATGGTGTGGCTTCTATATAATTTGATAATTAATCGTATTTTATGTCTTGAAATCTATTTTCATGCTTCACATGCATCATAAATTACATGTTTGTGTCTCTACCTAATCTCGAATCCATATTGTTGGTCAGGCTTTGCTCAGAATAAATGCAGGTTTGGAAGAGCAGGGGTACTGCAGGAAAGAACTGATGTATATTGACAAAACCCTGAGGGGGCCCAGAGTGGGAATAGCAGGAGCATTGACAGGTCAGTTGGATGGGAATTTAGAGCTAGAGCCTTGCAAATCTGAAGATATCTGCTTTGCATCTGCAGTTGTGCATGCAGATATTGGCAGCTCATTTTTGTGGGTCATTTTGTATCCACACAGGGCTCTACTTATAGCGCTATGCAGGGAATTTGCTAGGATTGAAAACATTGTTCGGCTGTGAAGTTGTTAGGACCCATTGCCAGAGCTGAGTAAGGGATTGAGCAATAGGGCTGATGCAGTTCAGTGGAAGCGGTTCCGATAGAAGTGTAAGTGAGAGGCTTGTGCTGTGCCTGTCTGCACTATATTTGCGTTTAAATCTTTCATGGACAATCGATCAAATTATTTTCCCTGCTTGCCATACCAATCTCTGAAAGATTCTACAAGTTCCACCTTGCTCCCAGAATATCATTGGCTGATTATTATGATCCCTCAGCCGAATGGATGCATGGATGGGCTGGCATCTGACAGCACACCTCTTGATTAGCAGTAGGAGAAGCACATGATGAGGATGTGTGCAGCATGCTGAAAAGGTGGTACATGGTGTGACAGACTTAAACCTGGAGTTAAGGGCAGGCCCAGGTTCCCCCCAACCATCCCCACACCACTGCAGAGTCTGCGCCTGAGAGGAAAGACCAGGACTACAGAGGGGGGTTTACTTCAAAACTGTGAACTAGCACATGATGAGTATGGCTCAGTAGGCTGCGACCCCTGCCTCTAGTAAAGAGAAAGAGGCCATGTGGGGGGTCACAGCAAGTCTCTGAGGTTGAAGCTGTCTGTCAGAAGCATGAGACCCACGGGGAACAGCTGGAGCTTTGCCACAGTGGGCACAGTGCTTATACCTCTCTCTCTTATAGTAGCTGTGACAGCTGTAGAAAATCCAGCTGTGTCAGGGGACAGCTGAGAGTGCTCTCAAGTATCTGAGATTTATGAGCTGCAGATTGAACTGCTGCTTGCAGTAGGCAGCGCTTAGATGGTTTCCTAAGAACTGCACTGAGCACTGGATTTAATCAGGCCTATTTTCCACTAAGTTGTCAACTTTATAAGATTGTGAAGTGCTCTTCAAACTTCTTGGAAATTCCTCAAAAAAAAAAAAAAAGTTACTCGAACCACAGTTAACATTGCTGGGGCTTACTGAACTCAGTAATCCAGTTATTAGACTTGATGTAGATCTGGTACAAACCTTGCTTGTTTGTGCACATAAGCTTATTTCTAAACCTAGAGGTGATGAAAAGTGCCCCCACATTAGAGGACTGGGTACAAGAGTCTGCACACTGTTACGTGCTGAAAGAAGATATGGCTATCAACTTCAGTGATAAGATATTAATGAGACTTGATTCCCTATGTCAAGTCATGTAGAACATCTGTATCATGAAACAACAATCATACCCAGAGACTGCATAGGTCGTATCCAATTTGATCTTACAGTACTTAGTATTTCTTAGATAACTTACCTTGCTTTTGTTTGCTAAGTCTGTTAATAGCATCAAATCTAAACAAGGACAAATATTTCCATTTGGCCATTGCTGAGATATGTGACTGTGGGGAACGGCTATTTCAACATACAAATATTCTGATTCTTCTGTGTTGTTTTGTTTGTTTCATAATGGATTAACTGTGAGAGTCCATTCTTGCTATTTATGGAGTCCTGACCAAGGAATGTGTTTTTTTTTTTCCTGTTTGCATAATAATTTGCTGACACACAAAAAGTTATCAGTGGAAAAAAAATTGTTTTGATGGTCCTGGACCATGATGTTCTCTACATGTGAAAAAAATCCTATTGTCTTTGGCACAATAATCTAAGTAATAATAATCTGCAAGTCATTTCCTGGGTGATGAAAGTCCCAATTCAGCAAGATGTTGATCCCTCAACTCCTGTAAATTTGAAGGGGAGCTGAGGGTACTCAGCATCTCACAGGCCTATCCCATAGAAACATGACAGGTGCAGTTATCTGGGTATATGCAGATGGATTGATTTGAGATATACAGCTCACTACACCAATAGCCTACAACAAAACAAATAAGAAATAAATGAATGTCCAATATTTAATAAGGCAAAAGGAACCTCCCCTCCCCCAACACAGGGTATGCCTACAGTATACAGCTTTTAATGACAAGGCTGTATGGACACAGTCCTGTTGCTAAAATTCAGTGTGTGTGACTGCTATTTGTCAGTGCTTTTTCCGAATCTGGCAACTA